TTTTATAATATAATATGATATTATAATGATTTTAATAATATGATATTATAATTATGCTATTATAATTATAATATCTTATAATTATTATTTTATAATAAGATTATAATAATATTATATATTATATAATTATTATTTTATAATAATATTATAATAATTTTATATATTATATTATATTTATTAATGATAATATAATAATTAATATAATCAAAATTTAAATATAATCTTATAATTATAATATTATTATCTATCATAGTGTATTACACACGTTATGGTTATATAATATATATTATATAATAATAATTTTGTTATATTATATTACATTTTATATATTATATTGATAGATAAAATATTAGTGTTATATATAGCATAAGGGTAAGTTTGTCAACGTGAAAATATTTATGTTCCATTTCAGAGAATTCTTAAAATTACAACCAAACAAATGAATCAACTTTCTTTTTCATTCCATTCCCATTACCATTTTCATTCCCTCATTACCATTCCCCTACTGTAACCAAACGCACCCTAAAAAGTTCTTGCAATATTTCATCTAAACACCCATTGTAAAAGTTGTTTTCTTTTTTAACTTAAAAAGAGAGATTCGAACTCGGTGAGTTGAGTTTAAAATTACCATCAAACTATGCCTGTTACCATTATAAAAGTTATTATTAGATCTATAATTTTTTTTAAAAAAAGGTAAATATAAAAAGATTGTGCCAAACAAACCCTATATATGCAAAATATGGTGGATTATAAGCATCCTAATCCTGCCATCAGCTCAATTTGCTATGTCGGCCAAGTTCAATATTAGTTGTTATTACGCATCATTGACTTGTAACCACTAATTGAATATGGTACAAATATCTTAATTAGGCTTTTCCAACAACAGGACAACCAAATTGAGCAAAAGATACTTGGATACAAATAATGGGATTCTTTATTCCATGACAAGAGAACATAAAAAAGATGGGATGTTTGAAGCTATACACTCTTTTTGGCATATAATGTGTTCAATAAAAAGATTGTTTCCTTGGTGGAATCAAACATGAAATTGGGACATTAACTAATAACTAAGCCAGGCACACGCTTATTTCCAAATCCAAAATTTGAGCTTCAAGGGAATGGTAATTAAGTATAAATTAGTGAATTTAGAACAAGATCCCCCACTAATTTAGGAGTAGCAAAAACTTTTTCGCGGAAGTCCTCACCTTTTGAGGATCTCATTTGACTTATCAAAGTTAAATAAGATGTTTAATAATATGATGATCTTAACATCATCACCATACTTGTATTACATTTTGTACTAAAATAATTTTACTTGAATATTAAAAGAATTTATCGAGTGGGCCAGGTTGAAAAAATATAGTGTTTTTTCTCACAATAAACACTCATAAATCGAGAATGATTCTGAATCTATCAACCAAACATCCTCATACGTATTACTATTTTACTTGCGTGCACGTAAACATGCTGCCATGAAAAAACAAAATTTTTTCCTTTCAAAATGATTCCATCCGAAAATGTTATTGTGTCTTTAAAGAAAAACAAGTTGAAAAAGACACATAAAATAGAATAAATAAAGGGCATAGAGAATCATCATCCATACTCAGATACTCTTCATGTATAAGAGTTCTTCTTCCTTTTTTATCTTTATATTGTGATGATCACGTTGATATAACATGACAAAGAAAATAAAGGAGAAAGTAAAGAAAAAGGGCATATTTGTAGGAATTAATTAAGTATGGAGGCTGATTTGCAAAAAAGTCTTCGCATACACTAGCCTGTCGGTGATAGCATATATTATCATGTTTTCTAATCGATGAAGATATGATACAACGTCTGTGAAGTAAATCAAGCCAAATTCCCCATGCTTTGGCTTGTGATCAATTGTAGAATTCTTTATATCATGCTAAAAAGAGATTCTTGCATTAGCAAAAAAAAAAAAAAAAAAGAGAGATTCTTGTTTAGAACCGTCTATATTACTTACTTTTTGTTGTGTTTGATATTTTTCAATGCCATATTTTTTTAAATATGATTATGAAGTGATTTTTACAGAAATTAAAGGATATTGGGCATATCTCAATCTAACAAAACCGGCTTATTAAGAGAGGATTACCCTCACCTTATTAAATGGATCATACCAATATCTCCGGTCAATGTGAGATTCTAATACGCTCCCTCATGCACAGCGTGAACCATGCCAAACCGCTGCGAATAGGTCGATATTGGGGGACCCAACATTGTAAAACTGAGCCTGCTCTGATACCATTTTACAGAAATAAAATGATATTGGGCCTAACTCAACCTAACAAAACCAGCTTGCTAGATGAGAATTGTCATCAGCTTATTAAGTGGATCATATCAATATCTCCAGTCAATATGAGATTCTAATAGTGATCTAAAATACAAATCCACAAGGAGTTTCGCGGAAGCAAAATCAACATTGAAAATACACTGTTGTCTGCTACATTTTTTTTTTGGTTGTTGGAGAAATGTCACTTGTCACACGTTCCCAATAAGAAAGCATTAAGAAAAGAAAATACAAATGAAAAAAAAAGGGTTGTTATATTCAATACATATGTCCCAACTACGATGCAAAAAAAAAAAAAAAAAAAAGGAACAAAAAAAAAAAAAAAAAAAAAAATCTAACCTGATTAAGTCGTTCTAAAAAGTCCATTAATTGGAGAGAGTTTTGGCATTGCGTTTATGGGAGTGGACTGGTTCAACTTCAACCCAATCAGGACTTGGCTAGGTCAATAATATTAATGCCCAATTTGAAACCGGCCTCCCACCTCCAGCCTAGACCAGACCAGACCAAAATATCACCAACACAACCAAAAAACGCATCTAGAACATAAATTCCTCGAAAATTCTTTCGCCATCCTATTAAATATTAAGAAATTCAAAGTCGTCGAATCACATTAAAATCATATCAGAAACTTGTAGTTCGTTGATTTGAGTTGAGATGTGATTTTATGTGAAAACTTTTTACTGTAATAAAAAGTTAGATGTGACTGTTTCTGAGATCTTTTTATTGTGACAAAACTTAAATTCTAAACTCGAATCGATAAAATGAACGGAATAAATATTCTCTAAAAATCTAATAGCGGAAAAGGGTGCAATGTCGTAGAGGATTATGTTACCTGGGGTTCTTTTTCGGGGAATTTATTAAAGTTCTCGAGACAATGGTTATGCAAGAAAAAACGGTCAAAAAAAAAAAAAAAGAAAGAAAAGAAAAGATATGGATGGACATTCTCATTCCTACGCAGCTCTTACTAAGATTGCGTAGCACATGCTTTGGTGTAGGGGCGTTTTGAGGTAACACTTTACTATTCGACATTTGTTGACATTGCTTCAACCACACCCCTTCCAAAACTCCATCTCCCACATCTCTCCATGTATCCATTTTAATATTAAACAATACCAAGAGGTACCAGTAATAGTAACACACGTTAATAGAACGTGAATCCTACATTAAATTAATTGGAAGACGTTTGATTGATGAATTCAGAATCACAATTTAAAATTATTTTTGATTTACGTGTATTTTTTGTGAGAAAAAACACTGTAACGAGCCACAAACCATAATTTGAATCATGACACGAATTCTTGAACCAAACGCACTCGATGTTTAATCATTGGTGTTCTTAAACATTTTTTTCCTAGATATCTTTATAAACAATACTAGGCGACAGAGTGACATTGAGCATCACACAATAATTAAAAGTGAATGTCTCATAACATAAGACTTATAAGTAAAACACATTTTTTATTAATTGTAGTGCTTAACACCAATAACGTCTCTAAATAATTTATATTCTTATGCATGTCAACTGTTTTTTATTTTTTATTTTTCTCATAGGCATGACTCGTTTTGTGCATATAAAACTCTTATGTGATTTGTACTTACGAGCTAAGTTCAAAATGCTATTTAAAATTTACAATTGGAGATGAAATTTTGAACCTTGATGTGGCGTTTTTGACCAATAAAATACTATTTTAAAACTTACCCCCCCTTCCAATCAAATTCAAGTGGTTCAGACCATTTTGTATTGTGATTTTCAAACCACACTTTTTAAACTAATATTTCAAACATTTGGAACCTGTGATCCAAACGGACACGTAAAAATGAATATTTTGAGGGGTCAAAGCGATGATGTGGCATATTTTGAGGGTGAAAATGCAAGGAATCGGGGGTGGTCCGCTTCACACTCCATCAGCGACCACCGGCACAGACAGAATAAAAGAATCATAAATGGGGAGATGCGAGAATATCTTTTTGTGCCAAATGTAAAAGAGACTCCTCACCGTCCGATTCACGGCAATTGCGCCACACGATCGTTAGGAAAACTCCCCTCCTGGTCCCACAATTTGACAAATCCATTCCTCGTTCCCCAACTACCCAATCACCACTAGACACGTAGCACCATTAATACAGCTGGAGCCACGTTATATTAGCTCCTTCCGGATATGCGGATTCCTTGGCAATTAAGTGGAATTTTGGAACGTAAAAAATCTCACTCTTTATTATTGTTTATTTAATTTTTGAAAAATATTTTAGTTTTTTAAAATTACAAAATAATAAATTAATGGGTGTTAAATTGGCCACCTCTAGATGGGAGTTAAAGTTCTTAAAGCTTCTCCTACTGTGACATTTTTATTCATAAAAATTAAAAAAATTATTCTTCCGGCTATTTGTGAAAATGTTTAAATATTTTTATTTTACCGATTCGAGTTTATAATTTAAATTTTATTATAATAAGTTCTTAAAAATAATCATATTTAATTTTTTTACTACAGTAAAAAATTTCTACATAAAGTCATATTTTAATTTAAATTAAAAACTCGAATCAACGAAATAAACGGGTCCTAAAAAATTTACCATACACAAACAATTATTTTTTAAATTATATTTTAAGATATTTTCCAAAAAAAAAAGAAAAAAGAAAAATTAAGATGAGCTGGTGCACCTTTGGATTGGCTTTATAAATGGCAAGGGGAAAAGGAAGCGGGAACTCGTACCTTTCTTTGCTTTCATTTGTTCGAGCACCTCTCTCTCTCTCTCTCTCTCTTCTGCTCGAGATCTGCGTCTCTCTTCCGTCTTCTCTAAGCTTCGCCGGCGAAGGCCTTGTTCCTCGTACTTCATCACTACCAGGTAATAAGCTCTTCAGCTTCAGTTATTGTCTCTCAGATCGTTCGTTTCTTTTGTTTTTGTTTTGTTTTTGTTTTTCTTGGTTTCTGCATTTCTAGTCGGGTTTATGCTCGTGCTTGTGTTTCTTCTTGCGTTTGTGGATCTGATTGTTTCTCCAATACTTTGCGTTTTCAAGATTCTGACATCGTAAATAGATTTCTATGTTTCTGCGGATTTTTCGGATGTTCTTCTTATGGAATTTTAGATGTCCGTACTGTTTTGATTTCTTCAGATTTTAGTTTTAGGTTAAGAAGTACTGTATGATTTGTTCAGATTTTAGTTTTAGGTTAAGAAGTACTGTATGATTTGTTCAGATTTTAGTTTTAGGTTAAGAAGTACTGTATGATTTGTTCAGATTTTAGTTTTAGGTTAAGAAGTACTGTATGATTTGTTCAGATTTTAGTTTTAGGTTAAGAAGTACTGTATGATTTGTTCAGATTTTAGTTTTAGGTTAAGAAGTACTGTATGATTTGTTCAGATTTTAGTTTTAGCTTAATTCTTAATAACATTCGAAATGTAATTGTCTCTGGGAGAAAATGGGAGATTTTGCGTGTAATAAATAACGAGTCCTGACTTTCACATATATTTACAAGAGTTAGAACTATTTGAGATCTCTGTATTAGGTAGTACAAAATGTGTCTCCTTTTTTTGTTTATGTTCTTGCCTTTTCTGTGTTATTGTCTGCGGAATTTTTGCCACCTCTAGATGTGTGATTTGGATGTAATAGCTGATTGTGATCTGTGCTTTGATGATTTAACGAGCTTGTGAAAAATGAAATCTTGAATATGGTAAAGGCGGTTCTGCTCATTAGAATTTGCATTTAGTGACTCACTCTGACACAAATTCTTTTCAACATCGTGATCTATGCTCATGAAACGGCTCGGGATACGATTTTGATTGCTTCATGTGTGGTTTTTTTTCGTTTGCAGTTATGGCCCCACCCATTGAGACTCCCCACAACATTCCTGGCTCCAAGCGTGCCTCGCATCCGCCTCTAAATGAGAGGATTCTTTCATCCATGTCCAGGAGATCTGTCGCTGCACATCCTTGGCACGATCTCGAGATAGGTATGCGATATGATTGATCTATAATCTTAGTTCTAGTATCTATTAGTTGTCATTGTTCTTTTGTATCCTTATACTACTCCCTCTCTCTCTATCTCCTGTTTTTGCTCTTTTGTAGCAACTTACTTTGTTGCCTTTTTTGTCACTACAATGCAGGGCCTGGTGCTCCAGAAGTTTTCAACTGTGTAAGGATACTATCATTTGATCTCATCTATTGGTGTTTTTTAAAATTGTTGTATAATTTTATATGCCGTGTGTATTCATCTTGAAATGGCCATGTCTGTGGTTAACAATCTTGCACAAGCTAATTTGATTGTAATACAATGCTTTTACCCTCTTTAGCTATAATATGAGTTTTCCTCCAAAAAGTTTGTTATCTGTGACACTGGGTCTAGGAACTGTAAAATCCACTGTGATATGATAATGTAGCTCCCTACCTTTAGAACCTTCAAAGCATGGGAAACTATAGACAGAAATTCTTAGCTCATAGAAATCTACAAATGAAAATTCAGAACTCATAGGGCACTAAAGAAAATTAAAATCTAATGGCATTGATGGTCCAAAATGGAAATTACTGCCTTAAGCATTTGATGCAATGCAATGGAAACACTCCGGTGCAACTTTTTGCTATGCCAACAACTTTTGGCAAATTTCTTGAAATACTTGTTTTTACACTAGACTGGTTTTGAAATTTTGAGAGAATTTTACACGATAGTCTGAAGTCTACAATATTGACCATGAATCATTCTGCATTCTACTTGACCCTAGCTCTGATGGAAAGTGGAAAAATCTCGCAGGTTGTTGAAATAGGAAAGGGAAGCAAAGTGAAATACGAACTTGACAAAAAAACTGGTTTGATTAAGGTACTCGATCCGTGAAGCATAATCTTTATAGGTCACTGGTTACATTCTAACTATGGATTTCTAAAGGTGCACATATGTGCAGGTTGATCGTGTTCTTTACTCGTCAGTTGTGTACCCTCACAACTATGGCTTCATCCCTCGCACTCTTTGTGAGGATAACGACCCCATGGATGTACTCATCATTATGCAGGTAGCTTTGATGGCCATTTTTGTTGTAAATTTCACGTTTTTCTAATTGCTGCCAAGGATTCTTTATGATGCTTGGAATGACTTTTGTCCAAAGCATTCAAACCTCCTAAACATATCTCTGTACAACCAATAGACTATTCATGATGTTGGTCGGCATTATACATGTGTCCGTGATCTATCAAACAGTCACGTGTATTCACATATCTTACTAGTTTGTTTTGACACATAATGTCAAACACAACATGGTTTGAGTGAGTTTGATTTCACTCTTTTGACATGTGGGCTTCAATTTGATATGATTTGTTTTCGCAAATATTGACAGGAGCCAGTTCTTCCAGGATGCTTTCTTCGGGCTAAAGCTATTGGCCTGATGCCCATGATTGATCAGGTGCATATTTAGAAGAAAGACTGCTTCCAATTGTTGTTAGAAAATTGTCTGACATTTTTATGAATACAGGGTGAGAAAGATGACAAGATAATTGCTGTTTGTGCCGATGATCCTGAGTACCGTCACTACAATGACATCAAAGAGCTGCCGCCACATCGTTTGGCTGAGATCCGCCGCTTCTTTGAAGACTGTATCCTTAAACTATAAATTTCAGCAACATCAGTAGTATGTGATATCTGCATACACAAAAGTTTACGTCTTTCTGTGGTCATATTCTACCACAAAGGTGATGGAACCAAATATTTTCCTTGACAAAATAAACAGACAAGAAAAATGAGAACAAGGAAGTCGCGGTTAACGACTTTCTACCGGCCTCTACTGCCTATGAAGCTATCCGACATTCCATGTAAGTGATATTCCATGTCTAGTTATTCACCCGCACCACTTTGTGTAAATTAGATTTAAATTTTCTGTACACCCGTCACATTCCTCTAGCTCATTTTCAACTGTCCAGGATATTTTGCTTGGTTATGTGTTTTATCACGTTTTACATCAATTAATGGTCTTGGTTTTAAGCTCATGAATTGTTTGTCTGTGAAGGAATCTGTACGCAGACTACATAGTGGAGAACCTGAGGCGGTAGATGGAGCAAGAGATATGCTGTCGTTCGGAGAATACAGCTATTACATATGTTGTCGTTTTATTGTAACCAAAACAAAATGGAAAACACTGTCGTATAGCATATACACGGATTATCTCAATTCTCAACCCTTGGTAGTTATACTCCCACGACTTACTAGAAATTATATAGCAATAAATGTTTAAAGGTTCTTATATTTTTCCTTTTTTTTTTCTTCTTTTGAAGATTATTTTCCCTGGGTTTGTGATTTTCTTTTACGTTTTCTTTCATTTTTTTTTTGGGAGGCTCCGAGGTGAGGAAGTTGTTGGCTACTTGCCCTCTTATACATCCAATATTGATTCATACTTTCGTCGATTTCATTTCTGATTGGAGGAAAAAAAAATTATATTGTTTGTTATGTATACTTTGATGTAATGAAGCACTTGCAATGGATTGTTTTGGTTGAATATTCAATTGTTTCCCTTAAATGTTTTGCATTATAAATAGAGGAGAGTTCTGCGTGATGATGTTTCTTTTTAGAAATGAACTACTCAAAAAAAAAAAAGAAGAAAGTAAATTTAACCTCACTACGCATTCTCGTTGAACATAAATTGCAAAAAAGTATATGAACACCAAAATTTATAAGGCCCTGTTCACTTCACTGATTCGAGTTTATAATTTGAGTTTTGTTACAGTAAAAAGTTCTCAGAAAGTCATATTTAACTTTTTTGCTACAGTAAAAAGCTCTTATATAAAATCACATCTCAACTCAAATTACAAACTCGAACCAACAAAATGAACGGACCTTAAGATTACTCGTACATTTTCCCGAATTATAAGAATTTAATGCAACCACCTTTTTTTCTCATCGTCTGGATGTCTATAATATCTTAATATTACTCCGCCATGAACTCCCCTTGTCTTAGGCATGGGTTCAACAAAAGCTTCATGTCCTGTTCTTTTTATAATTTCAATCACAATTTAATCTTTTTACTATAATATTTTTTCTTATAAAAATTTGAATTTCAGCTTAAATTTTTCGCTCAAAGTCTATAAAAAGAACACACTATAAGTCACTCGTGACCGTCTAAATTGATTCAGAATGATGGGTAACTTTCAAACTAAGGTCCCGTTCATTTTACCGATTTGAGTTTTATTACAGTAAAAAACTCTCAGAAACAATCACATTTAATTTTTTTATTACAGTAAAAAATTCTCACATAAAATCATATTTTAACTCAAATTAAAAATTTAAATATGTAAACTAAACAGGCTCCGAGTAACCAACCTAGCTAGGCCAGCCCAAAACATTCCCTCCCACCCCGCATACTTGTCCAGCCCAAGATTCCCACAACCAGAAAATGAGAATATCAAAAATAATAAAAAAAAAACAAAAAAAAGGCAAATATGTAGTCGTCTCTCTCTCTCTCTTAACCCCAAAAAAAATATCTATCCCCGAAACCCAAAGGCCTCTCCCTATATATATATCATTCCCTTCACTTCTGCACCTCTAAAACCCTCATTTCAACCCTCTAAAACCCAAAAACGACAGCCAAAAAAAATGAGCTCCTTCGTCAACTCCAACACAAACCTGGACAACCTCCTCCTCCAAGCCCTGATGGGTAGGCTCCAGATTCGCCCTCCCAACCATCACCACAACCCACTCCTTTCCCATAAATCCCTCGAAGACCTCCTCCTCTTCGACTCCCCCACCTTCTCCGACGACGACGACGAAAACGACGACGCAGCCGAAAACGACGGCGACAAGACCCTCCTCGCCAAGGAGGAGTCCAGGCTCGAGAAGGATATCGTCCGCCTCATCCTCGCTGGCAACTCCGACCGCCTCCGCCCCAACTCCGGTCAGGCCGTGGCCGTCGGCGACCACCACGTCTGCGTCGGATTCCACGAGGAGAAGGGCTCGGATTACCGCGTCTGGGAGTGGCACGGCCACATCATGCTCTTCGACGACGATAATGGATATACTCCCGAGTATATCTATGGAAATTACTTTGAGAGATTCCAATTACCTAATAATGCTAATAAGGCTAGGGTTTCTCCCGCGGAAGAGGAGGAGGAGGAGGAGGCAGCTGAGGAGAAGGTGGCGGCGAATTTGGGGCTTAGGGAATTGATCGACGGCGGTGAGGCTGATTCCGGTCGGACTCGGGTTCTTCATCGCAATATCAATGCCGGTTCTTCTTCAAGGTTAAGCACGATCTCTACTTTTTCTTTTGTTTTTTGAGTTTCTAAAGTATGAATTGGTTTGACTTTTGTTGTTTTACTTTTATATTCAATTGCGAAGTTTTGTGAGATTTTTAGCTGGTTACTTGATTGTTGAAAAATGAGACTAATTGAGAAATTGAGAGAAAAGAAGGGAGAAATTGAGAGAAAAGAAGGGAGAAATTGAGAGAAGAGAGAAAGTAGGCTGCAAATTTGTGAAATCAATGATCAGGGTAGATATAGCATGATAATGAGATGAAGTTGAATTCAGATGAACAAGAAATAAAATGAACTCTAAACCTTATATTTTGCGCCTAACGTAGGTGCGTAATTTAAGATTATGGTCTCTATCATGTCGCTCTTACCTTCATTGTTGAAGTAGACATTGTAACTATGATGGTTGGTGGTTACTTGCAAGAATTGATGAAACTTGGTAGTTGATGATGTTGGCAGTTGAATAACGTTTACTCGCATTAAGTTATATTAGCGAGAGAATTGAAAACTTTGTTGAACAAAGTATCGTAATCTTTGACTTATGCCTTGTCTGGTAGGAAGGAGGGTGAATGGTGGGGGATTAGTAGATGGATTTGGAGATTTACAGTTGTTTAGTGTAAGGGATAAGAGGAGAGAATGGTTTGGTCATGGGATTCAAACCAACCATAGGACTCCAGTTTCAGTCCTAGAGAGATTAAAGGAAAGAGTCCATACCAAACATAATACAAGAAAGGTCCTCCCCTTGCTCTCGATTTTCCTCACCTATATACCTTTCCATCCTATTTTCTTTCCCGTTTAATGAACACAACCTTGAGCTTGGGAAGTTTCAAATGATTTCATGTCTTTTGTTACATGTAGGTTGGAAGAAATGTATGAATGGCTTTTTATCCCATTTGAAATATAAAGGGTGCGTTTGGAATTGGTTTCAAAATGATTTTGTTTTCTGTATAAAAATGGAAATGAAAACGTTTTCATTTTCATTTTGGAATTATTTCTGAAAATACGTTTGGTAGTTTTATTCAGAGATTGATTTCAGTTTTAAAAAAAATTGAAACTGCGTTTGGTGGTTTAATTTTTGAAAACATGTAATAATATTTAAAGCCGCAAGCCCAATGCTCTCTCCAGTGCTCGGCGTCGTCGTTCTCCGAGCGGCACTACGCTAGCTCGCCAAAGTCAGACGACGTCGTCGAGCTCCCGCTTTTTTCCCTCCCCCTCGTCCTCTTCCCCGGAGCGATCCTTCCATTGCAGATCTTCGAGTTCCGGTACCGGATGATGAGGGGGGGGGGGGGGGGGGGGGGGGGGGGGGGGGGGAGAGGCTAAAGAGAAAACGGGAGAGAAAAGAAAAATGGAGAAAATGAAAACAACTTTTTTTCGTTTTCTGATTTCCACAAAACGATTTTGTTTTTTAAAAAAACTTGCACCAAACGCGTTTTTAAAACCCGTTTTCAATTTTTTGCTTCGAAAAACGTGAAAAATGAAAATGGAAACAGAAACAAACAGGCTCAAAATCTTGTGTTTTGGCTATTGACTGTGTTTATTACATGTTGGATTTTGTGGAGATATATTTGAAATTTTTGCTAATAAGGAAAGTTGGTTGTTGGTTTTGTGGTTGGGTTGCGTATATGAAAAGATTTTGGCCCTGTTTGTTTTTGTTTTTATTTCCATTTTTCACGTTTTTCGAGGAGTAAAAACTGAAAATGGTTTGAAGATTGTGTTTGGAGCCCCATTTAATCAAAAACAAAACTGAAAACGTTTTTGGTCTTTCTCATAAAATTGCATAGTTTCTGAAAACGAATTTTACTCGTTTTCCCATTTTCATTTTCTCCTCACTTTTAATAATAATATTTATTAAATATTAAATATATTATTATTTAATATATTTAATAATAATATTTAATTAATATATTTAATATTATTATTTATTTAATATATTATTAATTTAAATATTATTACATGTTTTTAAAAACCAAACACAATTTCAGTTTTTTTTTTTTTTTTAAACTGAAAACAATCTCAGAATAAAACTGCCAAACATATTTTCAGAAATGATTCCAAAATGAAACTAAAAACGTTTTTATTTTCATTTTCATACAAAAAATAAAAACGTTTTGGAACCAATTCTAAACGCACCATTTAAATCCTCGGGCCCCACCTCCCTCCGCCACTGAATACAAGCTTGTGTTTGCAATGACAAAAACTTGCTTCAAGTCATATATGTGCCCCGTTTCCTCTTCTTCCCTTTTGATAATTACTTCCCCCTCCTCTTCTCTCCTTTTCCTCAACTATGAAGTATAGGATGCTCTTATTTCGATGTTTACTTTGTTCATATTTGAAATTGAATAACCTTCCTTACTCAATCTTTTCATCATTATTCTGTGTAGATAATGCTTGTACATTTTTCCACGTTCCTTGTAATTTGCCTTCTCCAATATAGCTACTACTGATATGTTCATGTCTGTGGTTTGATGTGGATCAAAGTTGCACCAAGAGTTTGATGAATTCTAGAAGGAATTACGTCTGCGCTAACTATTTCGATGCCATCCTAATTTTGCAATGTCAGGATTCTAAGTAGTAGGATTTTATTTTTGTTCGTTTTAATTCTATTTGTTTCCGTTTCTTTATTTGTATTGTTTTAGTTTTGTTTTGAATAGGTCGGTCCAATTTGATGTAGATAAAATTAGTGAGCGAAGTGCTGATTATTGATTTTTAAGATTTTAGATTGTCATTATCATGTACTCCGTTTAATCCTTAGAAGTAGTACAAGACGAATGAAATGCAAAGACAAAAAAAATAGCCATAGTAAGCAATAGAAGAAAATGTTAGATGGTTTGTATGAGTTTTCTTTCCACTATTTGTCAAGTTTCTATTATTGTGCTTATGGCATTTCCTTTCCAGTTCCTACAACACATTAGAGCTCCTGAGTTTTTAAATTTGGTATCATATAATTCATAATAAACACAAAAGTTTCTCCTTTTATCTTGCAGGGTTTAGTTAGAGAGCAACAAGCTTGAGATTTGCAAAAGGGGCTTCTTTCTTTTGATTTTTCAGCGTCATAAACATGTAGTATGGATTGGTTTGGCCGGTCATTACAGAGCTTATTAGAAAAAAGCTGTCCTGTAATTTGATTACATGCTTTCTTGTTATGCTTTTACTACTCTCTCTTTATTTCCCTTCTAATGGCTACCAGTTTTTCCATTTTATTTACTAGTCTCTTTAAGCCTTATTTAAGCTTAAGGAGTATATGGTTACAATTTACATGCTCAATATTCTTTTCTATATTCTCTCTGTGATCATTATCATTATTATTAAATGTTGTGTGTCTTTTCAGTGTATACTTTTGGCTTATTGTCAAAGTTTAATAAAATGTAACGTGGTATAATTTCCACCATAACATATGATTGGAACGCCCTTTGGTGATTGCTTGAAGCCCTTTTTGTCATTTTCATCTAACTACAATTAATGAATGATTACTCCGTTCTTGATTATGAATAGTTAGGGGAACGAAAGTTGTTTTTGTGTTTTTGGGCTTTCAAGGCTCTATTGGTAAATTCATTTTGCAAAATAAACTGGAAAAAAAAGAAGCATATGACAAGGGTTAAAAAAAATTACATACTCACTGATTCTATATTTTCTGTGAGAATAATGTTATTTATGGTGGAAAAAAAAGAAAGGGATCCTTTATGGTGGATCTCTAATAAGTGCTTTGCCGGTGGAGCAATATTTTTTTAACTGTTGGATTAGTTTTTTAACAGTCGAAAACTATGGGAGCCTGCCAACCAAACACCACGCGAATCCCCGCAACTACGACTATTAAAATATAGAGTGTGTTTGGAACGGTTTTTAAAAACGGTTTTTACGTATTTTGAGAAGCAAAAAATGAAAATGAAAACGAAACGATGTTTGTTTAGTAAATGTTTTGAATATGAAAACAATGAGAATAATTTTCATGAAAGAATTAGAAAACAGTTAAAAGTTATTTTTACTTTTCTGTTTTCATTTTTTAGTACTTATTAATAATATTATAATAACCTTTGTCCCAACATATTCCTATCCTGAAACTCCTCCTGCTGTCTTAATGGCTTCTACCTCCACTTCTATTCTCTCGGTATTTGACTCCTCTGCAACTGTACTCATAGTTTGTGGTTGCTTCTTGTAGAACTCAGATTCTCTGAAAGTTACATCCCTGCTTAGTATCACTTTGGCTCCGTTAGGCTCAAGATTCCACAACCTGTAACCCTTGACCCCTTCTTGATATCCCAGAAAAATGCACTTATTTGCTCTGGGCTCTAATTTTCCTTGCTTAACGTGAGCATAAGCAATGCATTCAAAAACTTTTAGATGCTCATATTTGGGTGGATGACCCGACCACCTTTCTTCAGGGGTTTCCCAATTAATAGCTGTAGAAGGGCACCTATTTATTAAGTAGGCAGTTATTTTGATAGCTTTTGCCCAAAATGACTTTGACAGATTTGCATTAGAGAGCATACATCTCACTCTCTCTAATATGGTCTTATTAAACCTCTCTGCCAATCCATTTTGTTAGGGCGTTCCAATAATATTATGATGCTTAGCAATGCCCTTTTGTTTACAATAGGCATGAAACTCATCAGCGCATAACTCCAATCCATTGTCTGTCCCAAGTTTCTTCACTTTCCTACCAGTTTGATTCTCCACAAACGTTTTCCATTCAATAAAAGTAGATAAGGCATACCTTTCTGGAGAAATCATCAATAATGGATATAAAGTACTTGGCTCCACCATGAGACAACTCTAGAAGCCCCCCAAAGATCCGAGTGCACATAATCCAAAATCCCCTTTGTGATGTGCATTCTTGTAGAAAATTTCAATCTCTGAGCCTTTCCATACAAAAAATAAAATTATTTTGAACGAATTTCAAAGGCACATAATAATTTTTCAAACGGACAGTGGTTTATGCGGAGAATTTGCATTTTGGCAAGTGATGAGTTTGATGTCGTTTACGTAGGATATGTATTAGTATTACTCCGTGAAGGAAATTTGCACTTCCACATGGACAACAACTAATGGTCGGTATTCATATTCTTTCACAACTTAATGAATGAGACGACACACGTCCAACTTTTAAAAGACAAGTCGTTTTAAGTTCGTATCTTTTTACGACATTTCGTTGTTTAATCATGTCAAATAGGTGATTGTATGTGTAAAAAAGTTGGACATGTCGCATTTCGATAAACGTTGTGCGTTTATAATGCAATTCCACTCCCAAGCCTAACGATCTTTAATTTATTTATTTGTTTTAAAGTATATCTATTCCGTAATTGTTAGCACCGATGCTTGGGGACTGAGAGAGAGAGATGTTAAGAGAGAGAGAGAGAGACATGATAAGAGAGAGAGAGATGTTAAGAGAGAGAGAGAGAGAGAGAGAGAGAGAGAGATGTTAAGAGGAGAGAGAGAGAGAGGAGTTAATATTCTTAGAGATGTTCCTCCAGAAAGCCAAAATAATTTACACAAAAAGAGACCTTGCAGATTTACATGCTTGTTTGCTTTGTATCTCAAAAAACCAACTCAAACAAGGACAACAGCTTAAGCTATCATCATTACAAATAAAAATTTTGAGAAAGGGAGAGAGAGAGAGGGAGACTATCCGGCGCAACAGCACCCGCATAAGTTCTTATAGTACACACTCTGATCAATAAAGCTCCTTCCTACCACCCTCAACTGCCTTGTACAACACTACAGTTCCGCCCTCCTAATGTGATGATCTCACTGATGAAGACTCACCCAAAGAGACCGAAGCCAGAGAAGACGCCCAAACCCGAGCATTCCTCGCACCTTCATGCAAATTCCTTGTCTTGCATTGTCTCAGCTTCATCCAAATACCTCTAACATCAATCATGTGGCTGATGCGCCCCATTATCTGGCTCGTCTCTCCGAATATCCCCAAGTTCAGATGAGGAACACAGGAGACCCAGAAGGCTTTGAGCCGAGATAGAACCCTTGGGAATACGGCTACAAGTATCCTCAAACAGAGGAACAATATAGAGAAAACAAAGTAGGGTTCCCTCTTCCATTCCGCTCTCAGTGCCGAACCATTCATCAACTGGATTGCGGATTCTCCACCACTTTCTGAGCCGTTTGGCTGATCCACATCAAGATATTGAACTGGTTCAAGTCCTGAAACACAGAAGAAGAAAACATGAATGCCTAATGCATGTCACAATCTATTATTTGTCTAGAATTATGATATGAATGAAGAACAAGACTTGGGCACATTTGCAGTTTTCGCTTTTCAGATTTGGTTTGGGGGTAACACTTGTTGATCAATAAAATGTAACTAGGACATGGTTGGCAGCACAAAATAAAATTATTCGACTACATCAATCGGAAACTAAAAGAGCGATTATACATGGCTTTTTCTACCATCTTGATCTTAGCAAAGAATGAGCAAATACATAAAAAATTAAAATTAAACTTAAACTTAAAAGTCGACCATCTTTAGGAGAACCTACCTGTGGTTTTCTCATAAAATTGCATGAGGGAGCGAAGATCTTTCGGGCCATAATATCGCACCCTTGATGTCTGGTTCACCATTACTATCGAAGGCAAGCTATGGATTCGGTATCTTGAAAACACGCTGCAATAAACACACAGCAAGAGAAGTAGGCATTACAAAAATGCTGCAAGTTCAAAAAAGAAAATAAAAGAGAAAAAAATCTGATATTGCTATATAAGTTTAGATACTAGACCATCACCACATCAATTTTAAGTCATTATTTTCGTAGTTTTATTAGAGTAAATTGGTTGGCTAGAATAGAAGCCACATACTAGTAAGGAGACAATTCAACATATTTATAAGAAAAGAAACCCTTTATGGAATATTTTGCTTTTCTTTTGTTAATTTGTTTCTTCAAAAATTTACTAACACAACATCCAACAAAGGTCCAAGGTGAAATGCAGCAAAGTTGAATTACTTAAGAAAAAAATTTGCCTACAAGTTCCAACAGGAGAACGCCCAAGGACCATAAGAATAAGAGAGATGAAAAAAAAAAAAAATCACAGAAAGTAGTTTTAGGAAGCAACTTATATATGAGAAAAACACGAAAGAAAGCACAAAAAATTTTCATTGACATTCTTCGAAATCAGTGTTTAACCTGTATTCTCATCTCTCCCTACTTGCTTATCTCTAAAATGAAAGCACAAGTGATTACTCAATCTTTTGCCAGGAAATCATCACAAAGTAGGAAGCAGGTCAAGTTAGTAGCTTCACACCTTGGCATAGCAGAAGATTCCTCAACTGCCAAATGTTCTATTTGAGGGAACATGGAGCTGAGGGCTTCAAATTTTGGATATGTACTGCGCGAGAATTCACACCAAGAAGCATAAAAGAGGATGGAGGTATATCCAGTTCTCTGTTTAGATGCCAGAGTTCTATCAAGGAAGCTTCCAGTCACCTGGAGGGGAAAAAAAAACCCATATATTAATGACTTAAAACAATCAAATTTTATTTTTTATTTTTTATGAGTTTGGGAATCATTGATTCTAATCTGCTTGTACATACAGAATCCAAAGTTATCCCGATTTCTAATTCAAGGAAGCACCTTGATTTTCTACACACACACACACACACACACACACACACACACACAAAGTTATCTACATCTCTATCCACACACAAATTTCATAGATATCCATATTTATATTGAGAGATTAAGAGACGTCCCTGTGACAATCAATATTTGAAAGACAATCACAAATATCGAAACATGGGGTAGGATGGAGTGGGGTTTGTGTTTTACGGAATATTCAAGAAAACGAAGAGTAATAATTGGACACCACATCCTCATCCAAGTTTGGAACTTCAACATACTCCTATGATATTACAAAATTCTGATTGTGGCAAGTAGAAAGAATTGAACTAAAACATAGAGGGTATATAAACATACAGCAAATACACAAGAAAGCAGAGTGGAACAAGTACATTGTATTGTTCTTCAACTAAAATATCTTGTTGTTTATCAGGTGAGTTTTCATTCATACGTGAATCCTTTTTAATTTGTAGGTCTAAATGAATTTCTCTTTCCCATTTTAATGTATGGACTATGGATATAAAATGCAGTTAATCTAAATAATTAAGTCTTTGATATTTGCTTCATGAAATACCGTAACATATATGAAAACATAGCACTATTAAAAAGTGAAAAGTGCCCATAAAAATCTGTCCAACCTACTCCCACCAAAACCCATGAAATTCTCCAATCTCCATCGGTGAAGAAGAGTTGAATGACAGATCAAGAAGAATAAATTTATGAATCAAACAAAACTATAGTACTTATTAAGAGTCCGTTTGGTTCATGGATTAGAACCATGAGATTAGAATCATTTTCGATTTACGTGTGTTTTTTGTGAGAAAAAAATACTGTAGCGAACCATGAACCATGATTCAAATCAGAGAACGAATCCTCCAATCAAAAGGGCTCTAAAGAACTTTATGACACAACATTTATTATTGAAGTGGTCCAGAGCATCCCCCAATTAAGCTATTTTCCTTTATCTATCATCGGATATCTTCTAGGAGTGATTCCTAGTTTAAGACGGCGTATAAATAAACCATGCTTAACTAATTCAGTTGCATATCCATTAGTACAAGAAACAAAGAACAAGAATGCCCTCAGCATTTGCGTACCAATTATGCACCCATCATCTAGCACTCCTTTTTCTTTAATGAACCAAGAGTCCAAGTAGTCAAAAATAATAGAAAGGCAAAAGTAACACTTATATAGTACTGCATATAGAGTAGAGAAGAATACCTAGTCAAATAAATCTTCCTTGAAATAAATGAAAGTAAAAAAAAGATGATACAAGAAAGTCAAAACTAGAAGAAAACTTCAAAGAAGCTTCAATGAGGAAAAAATATACAGATGTTTACCAAGTGTAAGAACTAGGAACCCACATTAACAAACTGCTCAGTAGCATCATGTGGAACAATAAGTACGAATAGTATCGTTTCTTCATGAAAAAACAAGATGGAAACAAAATGATTATGCATATGGCATTAATAATATTGTAGAACTACTTTCAACCATTAAAACAAACAAGGAAATACCTAAAATCACATATAAGATTATTCCGCAAAATTAACAAGATAACCTTCCACACATGACGAAAGCTAAAAGAATTACAAGCCATCAACCATTGAAGATCACACGATCTCCATCAGTGCTCTCAGGTCCCAAAGAATTCAAGTCAAACAAGGTAATCTACGACAGTGCGACAAATAACGTAAAGATGAAGGAATAATCTGAACCAGGCGCATTATAATCTCAAAGTGGTTCCACACGAGAGCACGTTTAAGCTCTCTTGCGTATGATCACAACAAAAGAGTCACTTCGGAGTCTTGGACAACTTTTTCAGCAACTTGTACTTTGAGCAAAACATATACTGAAGTCCTAAACTATCATCACAGCTATCTAACAATTGATACTAGACATGCCATCTTCATTTTGAGCATATAGATGAGCCACATATCTCATCCTCCATTTGGCAGTTCCTAATACTAAGTATGCCAGAGAAGATACATTAGTAATCCCGAGGGATGGGATTAATGTCAGAGACATGGTTCTAAAACTCCAAGAAACTGGGTACTCCTTGAATGTTCACTGGTCATCCTATGTAATTTAGACGAAAGAGAATCTGTAACTTTAAATAGCTTCAATTTCCTATTAGTGAGCATAGAGTGGAATTTTATTGGAGAAGGGTAATATAAATCCCCGCCCTCCGGGACCCTACATAGGTTGTTTCGCTATTCGGAATGATCTGAACAATGAATACTGAACACTAATACAAATGGCTGCAAAATTAAAAATAAAATCCGAATCGATAATCGACCTAAAAAAGCCTCCTCTCCACCTCATTATACTTCTTTCTCTGTTCTTTCGTCTCGTGAAATGGCATCGAAACGCCATTACCAACATCCACCATGCTCAAAGATTCCTACACCCCCGACCAACCAAAACGACATCAAAACATCATCCTTTCCTCCATTATATAACCTTTTACCCCTTATTCGGTATGGGGGAAAAGTGGCAGGACTAGTGGGTGGATTTTAAGACCTATAGTTGTTTGCTAAGAGGGATTGAAGTAGAAATGGATTTTTGGGTGAGAAATTCAAAATCATCCGCAAGACTTCAACTTTGATCCTCCTAAAGTCAGAAAGAATGATTGGAGCACAGAATCCATATCAAAGTTACATACTTTTTTCTTTCTTTCCTATTTTCTTTCCCTCTTTCCAAACACATCTGCACTCTAGTTCTCCAATTTTCCCACCACTAAAAAAATAATAATTAAAAAAAAATAAAATACAGAATCCAAACAAAAGATCAAAATCCAAAACCCATGAAGAGAGGAAAAAAAAAATTAACAGCAAAATTAAACAGTCCCAGCAATCAACAAAAGAAGCATCTAATTCAGACATAAATAATTATGCAAAATTGGAGAACCCTAAATCGGGAAATTCACGCACCTGAAGAGGCGAATTGGGGGAGACCGACAGCGGGCATCGGGATTGGATTTCGTTGAGCAACCAAGAATTCGGGTCTTCGAAACCACAAAGAGCCAAAGACGAAACCGATTGTAGCGAAGAAGAAGACAAGATCACAATACAGAGTAACAGAACGAAGACAGCCATGGACGGCGACGAAGAACAAGAAGAATGAACGGTACGGAGAGAGAATACGCAGGATCACGAGGGGCAAAACGGGAAAGAGAAAGATTATACAAAGAAAAATGGACCAAAAAGAAAAGTATATATAATCACAAACAAACCCAAAAAATTAAAATTGGAAAGTGGGAAAATTTTTGGTTAATAGAAGAAGAAGAAGAAGAAGAAGAAGAAATGGGGATTTGAAAGTGGTAACGAGTTTGGATGGGGTTGGTCAGTCAGGGTTGGTGTTGGAATTTCGATTTATATTTATATTTATTATTTTTGTGTCGTTTTCGCTTTCGTTTTTGTTTTAGTTTTTAGTTTTTAGTTTTTTGGTTTTTAGTTTTTTTGGTTTAGTTTTTTTGTTTTGTTTTTGTGGTAATTAAACAAAGAATTTGAACACCGCGTTTGCTGTCTCTGTCTACCTCTGTTTCCTTCTTCGTTCCTCCTCTTTTTCTTTCATTTTTCCCTTTTTTTTTCTTCCTTTAATTTCTTTTTTCCTTTTGAGTAATTTGCATAAATATTCCGTAACTTTTTGTTGATTGACAAATTAAAATCTAAGATTTAGTTTATAGTTTCAGAATTATTCTCAATTTATGTGTGTTTTTTGTGTGAAAAAATACTGTAATAAACTATAAACTATGATTCGAATCATAGTATGAATACACTAACCAAACGCACTATAACAAGTTATTTATTTATTTTTTCTCGTTTTAAGATTCTGACTGCTAAAATTAAGAGTTCGAGATCAAGTTACAAAAATAGCGAGTTTTGGAAATCTTCTTTGTGCTTTGTTTGAATTGAAAAAGAGTTTTGACCAATTTTTGTTATTTTGATGGTAATGTAGAATTAGAACTCTGTTAAGGTTAAAACCAATGTGTTATGGTCTGCAGATCAGAAGAAAAGGAAAGGGCAATTTTTAAAATACTCTTTAAAATGGAGTTTCTTTTATTTTTACTTCTTAATATTAACTTATATATTTCTATTTTTTAGATTAGAACTAATCAAGTGATTGAGCCTTTTGAAATAAGTACTTTTAGTAAGTCAGGTACTTAATTTTCATTAATCTAATTTTTGTTATTTTGATGGTAAACATATATAATTAGAATTTTGTTAAGACTAAAACCAATGTGCTACGATTATCAGATCATAAGAAAGGGAAATATTGATAAAAACATCACATCTTGGTTCATGCTTGTTTGACTATTGGAACATGAAAAACTTTTTTATCTTAACTATAACCCATTAATTGTCTTATTTCTTAATTAAATCAATACATATGCTTTTATTTCAAATTATATAGCATTCAAAAATAAAAAATTATTTGTTAAACTAGTTTAAAATAGAGGAGAAGTTTTTGTTATTAATTTCACAAAGAAAAAAAAATCCCTGATTAAGTTTTTGTAAACTAGTTTAAAAATTATGCCCCCAACTCTGCGTAAAAAAGAGTGAGAGAGACTTTCTCAAAGCTAATCGGTTAAAAAGGGTAAATATCAAGTTTCAATGTATTTTATATTGATTTCCAATTTTAAGAAAGAAAAGTTATTTTTTAGAAAAAGTCAAAAATAGATGAAAATTTTTAGTAATTAACCCGCTAAACAAACAAGGGTGTCGTTTAATTTTAAAAATCCTTTAATCACCCACATTAATCACTCTCATTACTTTTATACGTACTGCAATGTATCAACATTGAGTTAAATCTAAGCTGTAATGTATGTTATCTGATCTAATTCTACTTCTTGGCATACTTTTGATCATAATCTAGCTTTTTACTTATATTATTTAATTTTCTTTGTTTCAAATAAGTAAGTCCTAACACTCTCTTAAGTTTAATCTTAATGAGTTTTGACCATTATGAATTTATGATCATGAAAAGTGTAGCTATTGCTATATCTCTCTTGTTAAGTGGCCGGTACTTAATTAATTATCTATTTATCTGCCTAGAATAAACTTCTTATACTGAAATTTTAGATTTTCAACTTCATTTTCACGTCTTATCTAGCTCCATGACTTATTCAATATAAAATAACATTACTAATAGAAATAGTGTGCGTCCCAAGTCGTGGACACGGATACAAATCAGGTGAGACCCCATCTTTTGACTCGTCACGATTGAGATTGTATAATAAAATTTTTATTATTGAATAATATTAAAGATACTAATGATGCTGAACACTGCAGACTAATATGAGGTGCGTCTCATAATATAAGTCACATATATGAAATCCACCTTTTATAATTAGTTGTGGTGTTAATTAGCACAAATAGTGTGGCCTCAAGCATTATGAACAAACTTCAATGAGAGATCAAACACCCAAAATGCGGGTTATCTTATAAGTAGTTAAACCTGCATCAGAAAAGAGCTTAGCCCATTCTTTCTCTTTCATCTCTCGGCCAGGAAGCAAAACCATCATCAACATATCAAAAAAGACTTGGGTTTCATACAGTTGATCATCATGATCATGATCATGATCAATATCCTTATTCTTTTGATTATCCAGAACGACCATGTCTACTATAATCACCTTAAGTTTCGCCTTTACCTGTAATTGCCTCTTTGCGTCGCTTAAGTAATTCCACGGACTCTTCATCACTCCAGTAATGCAATATCGACTGCTTTGTTAAACATGCAATCATCAATTAATATTTGATAATCACGATTAGTACCATTCCTAGAACCATATTTATATATAGGACTCAGTACAAACACACACACTATTACAATTTGGGCTATTTACGACAAAAATATTTTCGATGACAATTGTCGGCGTAAATAAATAAATATTTACGGCGATATATCGTCGCAAATATTTTCGTAAAACTGAAAAATTTTATCGTCGCTAAAAACTCACATGCCGTCGTAAATATTTGTTTGGCGGCGATCTTGTCTGGCGCGAACTTTTAGCGCCAAAATAATATTATTTGCGACCACATGTCGCCGCAAATAATTAACTATTGTCTTCGCAAATACAATTTAATTTATTTATTTTTCTCCGAGCAAAAAGGATTATTTTGGCGGGTGACAAATTTTTTTTTGCAACGACATTAATGTGTGTCGTCGCAATAAGTGATTTTGTATTCCCTCAGTAAAATAAAAGGCGGGAAAATTGGGCGGGTCCCCAAAAAATATACGACGACATTATAGGTGTCGTCGCTAATAATAATTCAAGAACCTTTCTTCTAAACCTTAAATAATTTAAGTTATATTTGCTACGACTCTTTCTCAACTCATATTCTTTTTTGTCGTCACAAAAAACTCTGTTGCCTACTAGCAGAGCCTCCTCCTCTATTTTTTCCGATCGGCTTCTCTCTCTCTCTCTCTCTCAGCCTCTCACCGGGTTTCACCGGTTTTCTGACCCCAAACTCTCAAAATCTCCTTGTATTCTCTTTAAAATCAACAATATTATAAGTTTTATTTGCTTTTTCATCCAAAAAATCTCAAAATCTCACCATCAAAGTCCGCCGCCACCGCCCTATGCCCATGTTTATCTTGCCGTTACAGCCCCCGTTTCAGTGGGTTTGAATTTTGTAAGTTTTCTATAATTATTGTATTTTTTAGTTTAAAATATATGAGTTTTTTGTTATTTGAATTGTGTATAATTATGGATTATAAATCTTAAAGTTTGATTTAGTAGATGTTTGGTTCATAGATTCAGAACCACAATTCAGAACCATTTTCATTTTTGTGTGTTTTTTATGAGAGAAAAACACTGTAAAAAATCATAAATCATGATTCAGAATTAGAAACGAACATAAGAAACAAACATCCCCTTATAGATTTTAGAATTAGTATATAATTTAAAATTTAGATTTTAGATTGAATTTTAGATTATGAATTTTGAGATTGTTGAAATTTTAAGATTATAATTTGATTTAGGTTGAAATTAAAAGTTTTGATAATTGTTCTGGGTGGCACATCTTACAGTTATGATGTGTTGAAATTTTTTAAAAGCTATTTTTTTGCAGGTTTGAATTTCTGGATAATAAGAAAAATATATCATTATAATGTCGAAATCTTATTAAAACCTATTAATTTTAAGAATTTAATTAATAAGAATTAATTATATTAATAGAAAGAAATTAAAAATTAATTATAAACATTATGAGTGCAATAATAAAAAAATAACTTGTTCATAAAATTTATAAAATTGAAACATGAAATATTAAACTTTCTTTATGAATGTGATTATATAGTCACAAGGAAACATGAAGTATGATTAGATGTGTTATTATTTTTATAGTCAAGATGCCAATTGACAAGAGTTGGATACATCTGAAAAATTGGTTGTCTGATCAGTATTGGGAAGGATTGTCTGCGTTTATCAACATTGCCAAAGACTATGTTGATGAAAGCGGTTGTACAAGTTGTCCGTGTCAGAGGTGTTTAAACCATAAGTGTTTTCCAATAGAAACAGTTAGAGCAATGGGGACCTTGTTGTGATCGTTTTACGTCCCCTGCTTTTCAGGTTCAATATCATTATGTCTTCTTATTTTTGATTACTTAGTTTATTTAATTATTAAGTATGTTACTAATTTATGTATGATCATTACTAGAAAAAATATGCTATAAATCAATAAAACCGTGACAGTCAAAAGTGGTCTAGCTTCCATGGTAGAAAGTCATACTCCCAGTATCGTTTAGATAAGGTAATATTAATTTGCATACTTGTTAAGTTTTTTTCACTTTGGCTTAATAATTATTCTAACACGTTCAACTTGATTAGGAAAATCCCGATACCCATGAGTTAGGATCATTAATTGACAATTGGGGTGACATGCACCGTCATGGGCATAATTTTGTCAACCCTTACGCGGAACATGCATTTGTAAGTAAATTTTAAAATTATTATTTTTTTCATATTTAACATAACATATTATACTATTTTTATCATTTTTATTTCCTTTACCTTTGTAGGCTCAGATGGAGGGGGAAAGAACCACGCAGATGACACAGTCTGCTAGCAAAGGTTCATCCATGCCGGTCACTGAGGAGGGGATTATGTCCCAAGTCTTGGGCAAGTGCAGAGGACACACTAAGGGAGTGGGACCGACATTGCCATGGAGGAATCGGTCAAGCACTTCCACCTCATCATCTGCTTCGCAATCAGACGGGTTGGCGTTGATTAA